CCTACTCCCTCCGTTCGTGGTCCGTTCGGTCGAGTCGTCTAGCGCTGTGTGTGTGTGTGTGTGTGTGTGTGTGTGTGTGTATATATCACATCTTCTTTATCCACTCATCTGTTGATAGACATTTAGGCTCCTCCCATGTCTTGACTATTGTGAATAGTGCAGCTGTGAACTTTGGGGTGCATGTATCTTTTCAAATTAGAATTTTCTCCAGTTGTATGCCCAGGAGTGATATTGCTGGATCATATGGCAACTCTATATTTAGTTTTTTAAGGAACCTCCATACTGTTTTCCATAGTGGCTGCACCAGTTTTCGAATATTCCCAACTATAGTATAGGAGAGGGTTCCCTTTTCTCCACACCCTCTCTAGCATTTGCTTTTTGTAGACTTTTTAGTGATGGCCGTTCTGAGCAGTGTGAGGTGATACCTTACTGTAGTTTTGATTTTGCATTTCTCTAATAATTAGCAGTGTTGAGCATCTTTCCATGTGTCTATTGGCCTTCTGTATGTCTTCTTTGGGGAAATGTCTATTTCAGTCTTCTGCCCATTTTTTGATTGGCTTGTTTGTTTGTTGTTGTTGTTGAGTTGTGTGAGCTGTTTGTATATTTTGGAAAGGAAGCCTTTGTCAGTTGCATCATTTGCAAATATTTTCTCCCATTATTAGTTTTTTCATTATCATGTGTCATTTACTATTTTTTTTAGAAACTGAAAGCTTGTATTTATTTTTAGGCTAGTTAAGAACTTATTCCAGCTTGCCAGAGAGAATAAACCTTCCATTATCTTCATTGATGAAATTGATTCTCTGTGTGGTTCAAGAAGTGAAAATGAAAGTGAAGCTGCACGTAGAATTAAGACAGAGTTCCTAGTTCAAATGCAAGGTAGTATTACTGATTTTTAAAAGTTTCTCTTCATTATATAGCCATTATTATTCACAATAATAGAAAAAAATTTAAGCAGAATTTCTCCATTCTTATAGGCCAAGTGTTTCCTTCTGATTGTCTTCCACATGCATACATAATTTTTACCCAGTTGTAACTGGCTTGTAGAGCTCACTGATATGGATAGTGAAGAGATTCACACATTGACTCATAACATGCCAGAAACAATATCTGTTCTTCAGAATATTTGCATCATATTCTTATAAAATTCAGTTAAATACAGTTTTTTTCAGAGAGACTCTCAAGATGAGGCATTTTAACCTTAAAGCACCACATTCATCAGAGAACATATAGAAGAGGTTTCAAGAACACTGAATATTTAAAA